GAAAAACAGAGGATGTTCACAGTAAAATATCCACATAGCGAAATCCGTGTCGTGGCATTACAACGCGTTGTGGCAATAAGAAAAACCATGAATCGTATTGAACCATATTTGATTAGGTTAGACTATAAGAAACAACGCACGAGCCGAGAGAGAATAGCGAGCGTGCCACGGCAGCGGGCGGAAAATTGCCAGAAGCAAATCGCTATTGTAAAATGAAATAGCTAGTTAAATCAATGAATGCTCAGAACGTGTTGTGGATCTTCTTTAATGCCATAACGCGTTGTGGATCTTCTTTAATGCCATAACGCGTTGAGGTCGAAAAGCATGTCATCGATGTCACGGATTTTTCTATATTGTTATTCTGCGATTGCCACAACGCGTTGCGAGCTATTTTTTCGCTCAATAAGCGATTTCGATCTCTGAGCGTAACATATAAACACTTAACAGAATAGGCTTCGCATTGAAAAGCAACAAAACTATAATCACTCTAATAAAAATACGATTCTTTTCTTATCAATTAAAATACATAAGCCGTAAGCGAAAAAGAAGTATAAAAATTTCTTTAAAAAATACTGAACGTATACCGCAAGGCACTATATTAGACCACGTAGTTTTCTGTGAGCATATAATTATCATATAAGGGTTATTGAACATTTTTCAACAATATTTTAAAGTATGTCCATATAAAAAATAGAACCGACTCGAAAAACTTTAAAAAAATGTGATAAATAATACTTTTTTAAACTCACACGATTTGTATACATTATAATTATATGCAATCGGGTCTTGTTCGTGCATTTTTTAAAACAATTAATTTACCTCGACGTTTCGGCTACGTTACAGCAGCCGTGGTCACGAGGAGACTGGAGAACTGGCGGCCAAACAACCACGAACAGTATTCTCGGATACCGTAAGTGCAGTGTGTCGCCACCTTTACGTATAATAAAATCAAGTGGAGGGTACATCTGAAAATCAGTTAAAAACATTATTACCGGATTACCCTCAACTAAAATCAGAAGACAACACCCGCCAGTTCTCCAGTCTCCTCGTGACCACGGCTGCTGTAACGTAGCCGAAACGTCGAGGTAAATTAATTGTTTTAAAAAATGCACGAACAAGACCCGATTGCATATAATTATAAAATAATACTTATCTCAAAAGAGACTTATTCAAGAAAATGCTTATAAAGTCGGGTGGAGGTTTTCTGTAGGTTATTAATTAAATGATAGGCGTTTGACTTCAATAGCATTTTCTTGAATAAGTCGCTTTTGAGATAAGTATTATTTATCACTTTTTTTTTAAGTTTCAAGTCGGTTCTATTTTTCTAAAGTTTTTATTTCATGCTTATTAGTGATATTGATATTTTTTATATAACAGGTAACACTAAAATCGGTTCAGCTAAATGCGAGATAGTCACAGACAATACATACAATACGTGTTAAGGTGCGAACCACCATTTTTTAAGTCGGTAATTTTATTTTCTCCCACGTCTGACAAATACTATAGTGAAAATTGGTTCAGCCAAACGCGAGATAATCGCACACAAATATACACAGATACAGGTCAAACTGAGAATCTCCTTTTTTGAAGTCGGTTAAAAACACTTTTTGCAAATATATGAGATACGACCAAAAATGTATTACTATTCATTTAGGATTCGCCGCCATAACGATCATGCATATCTGGCATATTATGACACTCTTTTGTATAAGTTTAATGGACATATTAAAAAACTCATTTTTTTTAATTCTAATTTACAATTTTTTAGACCTTAAAAAGTCCACAAATCAATTTCTTTATAATTGTAAATATTTTATGATGTAGACTCATTTAACAATGACACTGACAGCTGTCACATTAGTATAACGTCACACGTTTTAAATTTTTTTTTATTCACTTGATATGCATATCAAAAATAGTGATTTTATTCTGCAAAAATATACGTGATCTCAAACTAATTATTAACTAGTTCAAGAGTAATAAATAATAAATATTTTTTTGTTTAATTTAAATTTCTTATTTTATTTTGATCACTGTCAAAAACCCTATTATGATAAAGGTTATATAATAGCACGATTTGGATGCATGTATTGTCCTTTATATCTAATAAACATTTTCTATTACTCAGATTTATTTTAGCATGATAAATGTCGTTGTCTAATAACCAGAGGTCGGAATTAGGTAGAGTTATTTATGAGCTTGCATCGAAATGTTGATATTAATGAGGACCTTCCCGGGATTTCTTTCTTTCATTGATGTAAGTTTGGCAACGTCGTGCGTGCAGTAGTTTAAATTGTGTAAAAGTAAATAACTTTTTATTTAAAAAAAAAATTCTGCTCTTTAAAATTAATCTCGGGATTTGAGGCATATCCACTTTATTCTTTCGCTGTATGAAATCAGTTAAGTACATGAATAACTCTACCTAATTCCGACCACTGCTAATAACATATCGACGTATTTCTACTTCAGTATGCGTTTTAAAATTTTAATAATTTACTTATCGGGCAAAATATTGCGTTATTTAAACAAGCGTACCACAAGGCACTATATTAGGCAGCATAGTTTTCATTTAAGCACAATTTATAAGCCATGTTATAACACGATTAAGATGTAAATATTGTTCTCACTACGTAATGCTTAATATTACTTAGCAATGATTTAGTGCGATAAATGAAAAATCTATTTGAAAATCATTCATTAGCTTAAAACTTGGGTGAGCCTTTACTCCAACATGCATTATTTTATGTATGCACATATAATCGGGCAAAACATTTCAGCTCTTTAAACTAGCGAACTCGCCTCTTTATTACAATTCTGCCTGGAGTCTTATTAAGTATGAAATTAAAAAAAAAGAATCAGAGAAAAAGTTTAGCCCTTGCTGAGTTTCTTGCCGGTTCTTCTCAGTAAAAGGTCTTCCATCGTTACACACCCAATAGCATAGGTAATTCGACATACACAAGTGCTTATAACAGCTTAGACCGAGTAAATTTAAATACGAATATCAAATATCATAAGGAACAGCAAATAACCATAATACAGAGATATAAACCAAAACTGGACTGAAGATGCAGAGCAAAAATAAATAGTCAACAAGAAAATGGATTTTATTATGACATTTTTTTAACTGATAATGGCAGGAAATATGATTAAATGGCGTTGGATGGGGTATGGGTTATATGAGAGTTGCCACTACGGCCTGCAACATTGGTATTTAATATTCATCATTATCATAACGCAAGGGCTCAGGCCTTCCTTATGGATGGTTAAGGAGGATGGGCCATGACCTTCCACGCTGGCCCAATGCGGATTGGAGGGTATAAACGACTGCAAATGCAGCCGGGACCAACAGCTTAACGTGCCTTCCGAAGCACGGAGTAGCTCGAGATAATAATTTTTGGTCACCCATCCCGTGACTGACCCTTGCGAAAGATACTTAACGACAACGATCGCGGGCCGCGGCGCTTATCCACTACGCCACCGTGCTACTCTAAGATCAATTATTGAATATTAAATATTCAATTATTGAATATTTAATATTCAATCATTGAATATCTTTCCACAAGCGATTTCACTACTCGAATTTGTGACAGCTGTCATAACTCCATCCCCATCTAGTAGCGCCATCTACTGTTCGCATTTCAAATTAGTGCCCATTTTGCTTGCAAATGCAGTCGTAGCATATGCAAGCAAAATAGTATTAATATGAATACTTTTCGAAATCATTTTCATATGATGGGATCACTGCTAAAATAATATGATTTAATTTTCTATTTTTCACAGGAAATTATTATTAATCATACTAAATCAATACTGTTACTGTATAAAACATATTAATTACTTTTACAAATGCAAACGTCGAAAATAATAATATCACATAATAAATATATGACGGTACCTACAAATATATGAAATTCATGGTTAATTTGAGTTTTGCATTGATTTTACATACAAAACTATATAAAGTTTGTCATTAAAAATACATACATTTTGATCACCACTGAATATCTCATTAGCACCCTACCGGGGAAGTTTACAATACTACAAGTAATGATATGAGTATGAACTATATTCCTATTCACATAAGTTCTAAATTTCATATAAGCAAAAATTTTAATACTACAGAATTTGTTGAATATAATTTTTATCGCTTACATTGAATTTGGAAAGCAAATTTTATTCACAAAAAAAAAAACACCTAACAATTGTGCCGAATTTTTTTTAAATAATACTAATTGACACCGTTTTGTGTTATAATACATTCTATTTAGTAAAAAAAAAAATTAATATAGTTCATAATAACATTGTTATAAGATATAAGAACATAATGTATTATACTAGCAACACTTAAATATCAAGACGGAATGGTCACCATGGAACACAATTAACAATTACATTTTTTTCCTTATTATTGTCCATAATTATAAAATCAATTTGACGAATACCGTTCCCAGTATTTAGAATTTATACTAACTATATTTGTTTTTAAAGTGGCAACATTATTTCAAATGGTTTCATTAACAGGCAACATTAAGTGTACAATACTTTTTTCTGTTAAATACATTTTAGAATACCATAGATTGTGATATTTAAATAAAACTAAACAATTACGAACAAAAAATACTAAATAATGTCTTTTTTTAATATTTATTTTACACATTACAATTGATAAATTAAATATATCGATTGATTTGAAAGTGATCACTTAAGAAATAACTTCGCTTATAAAAGTAGGTGAGAAAAACAAATTCGCCTCTATAATATATATTTACATAATATATTTAACTACTTTGACACTTAATTGATGAAATAAGGCATACAGTGGAATGTTTAAGGCCAGCGTTCGAGCCCAGTTTAAATATAGTACTTATTATCTTTCATTTAAGGTTGAAATTACGCACAGTAACACTGCTGGAATGTTCATTCGATTTTATAACCAATCACTTTGCAGTTGAGGTCGGGTTTGGTTTGCGTCGAGCGCGTCTGTAATTTTCTATTATGTACTAGAGGTGTAGTACTTGCCCGTCGTCTTTTGTTGGAATGCTGTGCGGGAATGTAGCAGAGGGTTCGGGTTGATCTTCTAGAGTGACAGCTGTGAGATCAACTATTTCATCTTGTTCGTCTTGATCGAATCTAAAAGAATAAGAATAAAGTCGTGTGTAATTTTAAAATCTAGCACAGTCACTTTGAATTTAACATTTGAAAGATATTGCGATCCCGACGTTTTTTAAGATTTTAAATAAATGATAACGTTTATTAATGTCGGAATTGTCCAAAAAAAAGGAATAGTCACAAACATCTTTCAGCTATTTGGGAATCTCTAACGAATCGAATGTCGTTCATATTCATCATTCGTTCCAAGACTGTGACTTTTAAAAGTTTCATAAATCACTATTACAACCGCTTTACGTTGGAAAGGCATTGTGATAGATTTTAAATTAGACAATTAGGCCAGAGGTTGACTGAAAAGAATTAGATTGCCGTGTTTTAATTTTGTAGTATACTAGCTTTTCGCCAGCGGTTTCACCCGCGAAGTGCTGTATTATATACCTACCGTTTGAATCACTCTGTATATTAATTAAAATCGCATTGAAAATGCGTTGTATAGTTGAGAAGATCTCAGAGTACAGACGGCAGGAAGTGACTTTATTTTATACTATATGTGCAGTTGTTAACGCCCACCAATGGGCTACTTCACAACTATGACAATAATAAATTGTAAGTATATTCTATTTTATCAATATTAACTTGCGATTTATTGTCTGTGGATTGCAAGAACCAAAACGCGCCGCGGGCGGCCATGACGGAGCATAGTATGACGTCACTTTTCAATAAAACCATGTTTATTGAAATGTGACGTCACTGCTCGAAATGTCACGACTGATTGGTTCCGCAGTTTTTACGGTATTGACATAATAACTAATTGCAATTTCATATTTTACAACATTAATACCTTTTTGACTTTTAAATGATATTATTATTACACTAATTACTAATGTCAGTGTTGAATAATTAACTGTCGTATGTTTACATTGATTTATGACTTAAATTAGGAACAAATGAGAAGATTAATAATTTTTTATTTGAAGAACGTAAAACTATTTACTTTATTCAAATGTAGATGTGTCTAGAAGTAATTTGAATATGCTACACTCTTATAGTGTCACAAGAATTGTACCTAATAAAAACAACCAACCATAAAAACAACATACTATGTGACATGCAATAAATGCATTATTATTATAACCTTTTTTCACAGTTCAATAAATAAAATTTAAAAACAAAATAATAATATTTGTAATAACTTTCTTACCTGTCTTCATCTGGTTCACTGTTGGGTTGCGAATGTCTGGAGGCCGTGTCTGGTGCGGGAGTGCGTTGGTTCGCGGGCCGGACGGTGATAATCAGATTCGAAGAGTTGGCTACCATCATGTCTGTCACCTTCAATTGAATATTGTTTTAGCCTTAGAACACACAATTGAATTTGACCTAATACCGGATACTCAGCCAACCCTAAAACGCCTTGGCGGTATATTCGGCTACCGGATACCGGATAGTAGCGGGATATCCATTTTATCTCGAATCTCAATAGCTACATCTATTGATATACAATCTTGACACATGTGTAATGAAGAAATTAAATCGTGACGTTCTTACGAGTACGAGTTCGTTACACCTAATTAATTTTACGGACATACATTGAATTAACAAATACTATCAATTTATAGGCAAAAAATGTTAGGTGATTAAAACATGTTAATAAAAGTTTTTTGCTAAAACTACAATGTGGACTCCCAACAAAATGTGGTTGTGGGCTCCAACCACATTTTGTTGGAGCATCCGCAGATGTTTTTTTTCTTGTTAGTCTTACAGCTCGCTATTTTTGCCTGCTATTTATTCTTGTTTAAGTCAGAATTTCAATGTTTTTGGAAAATTCGTTTATTTGGACGCGCAAAAAATATGTTAATTTCCTATAATGTATTGTTATCTCACCTGGTCTAGAGTCTTGTTGGATACGTCTATGCCGTTCACTTCTAATACTTCGTCGTTGACTCCTAGCAAGCCCGTAGACTCCGCTAATCCACCAGGTACCAGTCTCGATATGAATATACCGGGAGATCTCTCCACGCCATTAGGTGTCACACGAACTGATGTACCATCCCTAGTAAAACCACAAGAACAGGATTAACAAGAATTATATATTAATTTCTAGAGATAAAACGGATAGCTATTTGTCCGGATACCGGATATCAGGCTGCAAGATATACCTAATATAAATAAAATGGTGTAGTATAATGATATAAATATAAGTCAGGCAGAAAATTGTCGTTTGGTGCATCACAAGAAAAGATCTTGCTTAGGAATGACAGATCTGTAACGACTAAGTAGAAATGAATAGACTTGCTCGAATTGAAGTTGTCTCTTTGATGAGCAAAGTTAGCATTTGTTTCTTTCAAGCACTTCTTGAAGTGATTACAAAAACATTATAAGTTACATAATAAAAAGTTTATAACCACAAATTTTATTCAATAAGTATCCAACTCTAAGTAAGTATGTAAGGTAGGATCCGTTTCGGATATCCAGTAACTATACAATATAACATACATAGAATAACAATATATATAAAACTTACCTGATGAAGAAACCAAGCGGTCTGTCTGAGCCGTGCTTCAATAACTTTACCCTCCTGCAAGTCTCTGGCACTATATCCACATCTATTATTGCTGACACCTAAAATGTTAACTAGGATTTAAATTTTATTTTAATCAAAGTGGTTACATATTTATAAGTCTGTCTACACACGTTCGTTTTCCGCGTTCAGTTTCCTGATCGGGAATTAGAAGACCCATACGCACCTTTAGTACAAAGTGTACATCGACAGGCACACGTTCGTTTCGTTAGTAGTTAGAAAAAACATTTACACGAAATGAGCGCGTTCGTTGAGTTAAATGACTAATTTGAAAATTTATCTATATATTGCTTTTAGAATTAACGATGATTTGAAAAATCAAGAAACCTAATAAGAACTTATGTAAACCCGTCGAAAGATTGCCGTTATCATTAAAACCTTTCCTTTGACATTACTCAATAGTTTTCAAAGATATTTGAGACTAACCCTTGCCTTAGGGGCCGTCCATTAATCACGTGAGGCTCGAAAGGGGGGGGGTGATTTTCGTTAAAAATCACGAAATATCACAAGGGGGGTGGGGGGGGTGTAGTAATATATCACGTGTATTTATTTTTTCCTCGATACGCGATTATTAAACCGAAAAGCGACGTCAAAAATAGATATTTTTTGTTTTAAATACACGTGATTTGGTTGAAGGAGGAAGGGGGTAGTCTTAAACCTCACCATGTATCACCAAGGGGGAGGGGGTGGGGGGTGGGGGGGGTCAAAAATGTTGAAAAAAACATCACGTGATTAATGGACGGCCCCTTAGACACTTTCAATTAACGTCAAATTAACGATATCGTTCATTTAATATCTTTAAAAAAAAGCCGCAATCGATCTCATACACCTATATCACAGTTGTAGCGTGAAGTTCGTGAATACGGTTTATCCACTCTGATAACCTGGGATCTCTCAAATGTCAAATTGAAAGGGATTGATAGATTTTAAAATTAAACAATATGCCCTTTGCCCTGCGACTCTGTTTAAATCGATATCCGAATTCATTTCATAAGCGGCATCCGCTCAACCTTTGATTGGTTATAACATGTCGGGGCATAAGTGAAGCGAATTTCGAAATGACATAGGAATAGAATATCTGAAACACATATATTCAATCAATTTTTTTTTTTGTATTTTTATACAAAAATGGAATCAATAGAATTTTCCCACTAAACGACGTAAGTAATAAGGACTCAATTTTCAATGTTCCTCTTACCATTCTGAAGTCGTGAGGGTTGGATATTGCCAGTCCTTTGTTCTTAGCCGGTGTGCCGCTCAATATGGATGAGATTATGTTGCGTCGCCGCATCGTTCCATATCCGTTCAGTTCTTCCAAGCTGTCACCTGTGGACAAGATGGGTTTTTAAGGTTCCCTGCAAACTACACGCTTTCTATCGGCTGATAGTTTAATCGGCTTCTTAATCAGTATGAAGAGGTATATAAATGCGCACATTACAGATTTAATATCGGCCGACAAAAAGTTTCAAGGGCTCTACAAAAGCTAAAGTATCGGCGAACTCGACCGACACATTCTGTTCACTCAGCGTTGAATGCAAGAATGGTCCTACTCTCAAAACGAATTTGTTGTATGTACCTACATGATGGATTCAGCGACGTCTTTGCTTACTGATACCTGATACCTACTTATGTTGGTAACTTAATTCAGGATAACGAAAAACAACCACGTTCTATATAAAAAACTTAAAAGGGTAATTGGATGATAATCAAAGAAAAAGCTATGGGAAGAAGTCTGTACCATATTGTAACGTTCAATCTTTCTTCTACATGGATAATTTGACAAGTTCATTGAAACTGGTTATACTCATTCGATAATAAGGGAAAAGATTTTCCTGAAAATCTAGTAATTTAGAATTAATCGTGTAAAACTTCCCATGCAATAATCTATTACTGTAGATGGAATGTACCCAATACTCTCGATTTCTATTCTTCTGCGCACTTGCAGACCAGCTCGTTTAACTCGAGGCGATGGAATTAGCCGTCTGTAGTTTGCGGGGACTCTAAATAGATCGATCGATCCAAGCGCCAATTGCGCTAGTTAGCTATTTCGGCTTTAGGAACGCATGGAGAATCATGCGGCTAACGTACAGTACGCATAGTGAATCTTCGCTTGCGCATACAGATACATATATACATACCAACGATAATAGAACGTATGACTAAAATTTAAAGCGAGTTTAATTTCCATAAATCAATATATTAATAAATATGTCAAATTTTGATAAACCACATGTACGAGAGCTGAATCAAAATGGCGACTGCAGAGTAGCACATTTTCGGGTCTCAATCGAGGTGCGGGGGTGAGACGCAGAGGGTAACCATAGCAACGCTGTATACTAGAGACGGGAACCTGCGCGGGAAATTGCCATTTTGGTTCAAATACGTGTCGCGCAATATCGAAAGTTTATATAAAATATCCGTTTAAATGAATTAACTGTGTAACGGTGACGTGATTCAATATTCGCCTGCATGTATGACCTCGTATCTATTAGAGTGTAACGGTAGTTGTAAACGACGAATGGTACAATAATGCATTGGTACCCTTAGCAAGAAAATTCTCATGTGTGAAATGAATTTGTACGCAGCACGTAAAAAATTTTCGTAGGTACAGTAGTACCTGTATCAGTAGATACACAGCGCTATCTACCTTTATAAAGTAGACTAAGGGCCAGTTTTTTGATCCGTGGTTAACTCAACCATTTGTCAAAATCTTCGACAAATGTTTAAATATCAGAAAAACATTTTTTTTAATAGTTAGCCTAACCAATCGTCAGAATCCCAACAATCCATTGTCTATTGAAACAAAATCCTAATGTCACAAATGGTATATAGTTCCCTCCGTTCATTCAAACCGTTAGTGTTGTCACCCAGAAAAAAATTACCCATGTCAATGTATAGCGATAGAACGCCTCATTGTGGCAACAAATTAATCAATGGTTAAATTTCCAGAATTCCAACCATTAGTCAAAACTAATGGTTGGAATTCTGACAATTGGTTATGCTTACTATTCCCACAAAAATTAGACATTTGCAATAAATTTTTCGTGTTAAAAGTGATGCAGGCAAGAACGTTACAGCTGCTGCAGAAACTTCGCAACAATACCTTCAACATTCCGCAAACATAATGACGAATCTATATCCAATAAGGTATAAGACCCAGTTTCCTATTACAGTTATTCTTGAGACAATACTTTATTTGGGAAATTAAAGTGGCATTCATTCTTGTACAGGAACCAAGTTCTCGCTCATTTTATTGAAAATTAGACAATAATATATTTGTGTTTATGAGGATCTCTGCGCATTGGTTAGCGGGCTCGGCCTGCAAAGCAACTGTCGCAATGACCGGATATAAGATGGGTGACAAAAAATTCATTGAATCGAGGTCCTTTGGTCCAGGCAACATTTGCAGTCGTTAAAACCCACCGATCCATATTGGGCCCGCGAGGTGGGTTATTCATGATGATGTTTGTGTTTCCAATACTGCTACTATAGCGCCAGTATTTTATGCAACAAAATTTCAATTTTCTCCTGAATTAACTTTAAAGCATATATATATAAAAAAAATCTCACAATAAGCACTTTCATTCGAGTCACACGATACATAGGTACTATAATTCTCAAAATTTTAATTCAGTAACTTGCTGCGAGAATGCGAAATCGCCCGCTTATTGTGTATTATAAACCTTCATCATGAACGTCTAAACGTCTATAAAATCCATTTTGTAGTTTAAAAGGGTTAGCGTACAGACATCCAAAAGCTACTTTATTTTATTCTATGTATATATAGTACGGAACCCTTTGCACGCGAGTCCTACTCACACTTGGCTGGCTTCTTTTTAAATCAAATTATCATGCTAATAAACAAGATGTATGGAACCCATAAATTATGAATGACGTCACACATAGAATACAGGAACAATACGTGTATGTGGCAGCGTTAATTAGACGCAGATAAATAAGCGTCACGCGAGAACGACCAACAGTTTATTAGTTTGACTGCGACACGGTCAGATGCACTCAGCATGGTATTCAAATTTGAATCTTATTCTCACATGTTTAGAGACTATTATTAGATTTCATTAGTATCATATGGTGAAGGTATTTCTCGGTTTGGACATTTTTTAAATTCAAAACGTTGATGTTATCAACAGTCTGTTTTCTAATGTCTTCTGTTTGGATATCAAAAATGTACAATCAACATTACATTACACAGTTTATTATAAATACTGACTTAACTCAAAACTTTTATTAAACCTCATAAGTTAACTTAAAGGGGAAATATCCAATTTTGATATGTATTTGAGTTCATGATCAATGAACTATATTATTTTGGTGTTAATTTATTCTCTAATCAAATGTTACATTGCATAAAAACACTACTAATAATTGCTTGAACCTGCCTTAATGGTGCCACTTAAATAGAAACGTTCTATGGTCAAACGAACAGGCGATTCAATGAGCCATTGTCGTATTCAACAATGCGCGACCGCGCCCGCGCGCTAGTAAAGAAACTCATAATTAACATACCATATATTACAGGTGGGTCGCATTTAAATAAAAAATCACTAGTTCCCTTTTTCACTTAACTTAGGAGCCGCTTAAACATCTAAGAATCGACTGAGGCAGGGAACTACAGCCTGCAGCTCGCAGGTCGAATGCAGAGTTTAAATAAATTATAAATAATTTCCTTTAGATCGTGTCTATAATCCATAGTTGAGTTGAGTATTGAAACTATAAAGTTTGAAATACACTGACTATGATTGAGAGATAGATATTCAAAGTCATTTATTTCAAATAAAATCTGAAATATAATGTCAATCGTGTTGAAAAATAATCTTTCAGTGGCTCTTCAATACTGTGAAAATTTGTAAATGGTAATTTTTGTCTCTTTTAATGTGCCCTATCGCTAGCGTGAAGAGAAAATGCGTTTTGATCACAGATGTCTCATGGGATAAAAACAATTTGTTTAAAAAGAATTTAATAAATCTGCTTAGGCGATTCTTGAGTTAAGGCGTTTCCTAGTTAAGCTATGCCACTAATCTAGGTTAGTGAAAACCAATTAAATTTTAACCTTTAAATTTAAACTTTAAATTGGTTTTGTAAGAAGAAATAACATCAAAAAGATCTGTTATTTAAAATGTAGAAATCATATCATATCCATAAGGGTGTCATCATCATCATCAGCTTTATATATGAATTGAATTGAATCAAATATTGAGAATGGGTCATAACCATATCCTATGGTCAGTGCTAATTTGTTTAATTATAATTATGCGTTAATTACTGATTGAATATGCAATCAAAAACAACAGCTTTATGTGCCTTCCGATGCATGAAGGAGCTGGAGATAATAATATAACCCGTCTTATGACAACCCCTCGTGAAAGTTGTTTAACTTCCTCACCAACTAACCAAACACACTAACCACTGCGCAACCAAGCTCTTTATTAGACATCCATATATCAATTTATAAAATTTCTCTACAGAAAAAGAAATACATAGTTACCTTAAAATTAAGAAATGGACACATCACTCACCTTTTCTCTGAATGATAACCCTGAGTAGAGGGCGCGCGGTAAGCAAAGCACGAGCCAAATTATCATCATTGTTGATGGGCAGGAGATCCCCATCTCTGGGGTCTGTGTATGATATCAGGAACGCCACATCATGCAGCCGGTGTAATTTCTCAATTAACGCTTTGAAATCCTCATACTTTAACTTTTCTGTCCTACTCAGGGAGAAGCGACGGAATTCAGCATCAAACTAAAAATAAAATTATTTCAAATAATAAAATATTTTGCTTGTCATTATAAATCATTAATATAAATATTAACAATGATAAAATGTAATTAACTTTATGTTGCGGGCAATTTACATTTTCACTTTCATTGATTGGTCATTACTTTATTGACCTATGAGATGAGCCTGCAGAGATCACTCAAATAATAAAAAATAATACTTTCAGTATTCCACTAAAATCCAGTTGTTTTATTTTATTGATTCATGTGAATATTTAGTTTCCAAAAGGCTTTCGGCACCAAAACAGTTTGATAACTACTATTGTAGACCATTGTTGATGACAATTAAGAATTTTCACAAGGGGTTAGAATATTCGAATATGGAGCCTATTCAAAAACACTTTAACAAGATTACATTGAATTTTTATCTCACAGAAGGATATAAAATTACACAAATGTAAAACTTTTTTTCATATTTGTACTTTAATTTAGCTTAGCTTTCTGCCAGTAGTGGTCTAGAGTGATAAAAAAGTATACCTGTACATTAATCCAGTGTTAGAATGATCTATATACAAAATTTTAACAAATTCCATTCAATTGTTTTTACTTGAACAATTAACAAATAACCTAATAACTGTCTGTTGAGTATATTAATAAAGTATATTGAGCCCATACTTTTTTATTTTTTTGCATAATCAATAAGTTACAGTGATACATTGAGCTGAAACATCACATGACGTCACACCTTTATACATTTCCTAAATAGTTGTGAGGTAGTGAGATTCACTCCATAACTATAATGCCTATTATCTAAACCATTTTCTTATTAAATTCAAGGAAAAAAATGTATTTAATATTTTTCTGTTATCTGATGGGCAAACTAATTTGAATTTATTTTTCTTTAGCTTTTTTTTTATTTTTCTTTTCGTTCAGTTTAAATTTATCTTAGCATCATAGACTTAAAACATTATAGATAGGCTTTATATGGGAAGCATGATTACAGCTCAATGGTTTAAAAAAATTAGAACCACAACATATATTTGGTTCTCATAATGCATTTATATTGTGTATGTAATAAGGTAGGGCACAAAAACACTGGCAACTAATTTGAAAAAGTTTTTATTATATTAATTATTAAAGGTTGCAATTAAGAATAAAACACCAATTTGGATTAACAACAATCTTATTTTTAACTGCTGTAAAGTTTTTTCCTAACATTATTAATATCCTGTCTTACATTATGTCATTATATATTATGTTTTACACACTGTTAATAGCTACAGTAATTTGTTTATTATGTAACAAAGTGGAAACTGAAATTATTTAATATTATATAAGCTAAAATTCAAAACTTACACTGGCTAGGTATGTAATCATAAAACACTAATAATCATGTTCACATTTTTGGCAACACAATGGCATCACACAAACTTATTGCCAGACAATGATACAAGTCAATTGCCTATAAAATATTTTTGTACTGGGTAAAATGATGACTTATTTACATATATATCCATAAGTTTTAAATATGGAAATGTAGATAATTGGATTTCCAAGAGTACCAAATCATTTAGGGCTGTAATACGAAGTTTAACAATTTTTCTTCACAATAAATATCGATCTATAAAAATAGTTTGCTGTGATAGTCACTTGATTAATAATTAGTCTTAGTCTTCAATACAAAGTAAGAAAATTCGCAAAATTGAACACTCACCTTAGTTTTGACTTCAACATTTTGGCTATCAATACGAGCCGCTATCTTGTTCTTCGACATCTCGAGTGCATTTATTATTTTAATATTAATTGTATAAAACTATCGTAATAGGATTTAGGCACTTATTTTCAAACACAGCATTGTAAAATATCAAAAAACATAGTATATTCTAAAACGATTTTATGAGAACATTCAACTCACTCGCGTCGTAATTTGACAGTTATTTCTCATCGTTCACATATTTCAAGAATTAGTAACGGATTACCAATCAGAGGTGTGTAGCTCACATAAAAACATCAATCTTATTGGTCAAAAACCTTGCACAATGCACAAATTACAAAGGGTATAATGAAAACGAAGTGAAATTCGTTCCGTTTTATGCATTATTTTGATATCTTTAGTCGAAAACTGTGCAAGAGTGTACTTAATAACAAATTTTGAAATCTATCGGAGTCCTTTTCAAATATATAGCAATTCTGATAGCAATTTATGGTATAAAGTAGTTTTAAATGTCGTTATCGCTTTAGGTATGAATGTTGATGTGAATGATCAAGAAACATAATAAAAACTTTATTTATGTTCTTCTTAAAATTACAATCAACGGCATGGCAGGTAATCTGGCAGTGGCAGGAGGACACCCTTATAATGAGGAAGTATTAAAAAAAACATTAGTTCCCGAAATCAAACTAGATGTCGCTACGGTACGTTCTTGATTTCTCCATGACAACCTTTCCGGTTTTCTTTCATGTTTTAAAGTAAATTAGTTTGCAAAACTCAGTAAACAACTCATATTCTATTTGTAATTTTTTGTATTTGTATTGATATCTAAGTTTCGAACTTTTCAAATTTCAGTTTTTTAATATGTTGGTTAATAGGAACGGAAATTACTGTCCTTGGTCCATTCGTTTCCTGCAAAAGTGAACTTTTGGTAGAGCCGCCATCTAGAGAGGTGCTTTTTAGTGCTTTTTTTTTTCTTAAAATACTTCCTTATTAGTAAGATTGTAAATCAACTCGCGTTTAGGTTCGTTATGGATAACCAAAGAGTAAAAGTGTGCGTGTAACGGAAGGACAATTGAAGGCCTTTTTTTTTCAATTTTCTCCTTCAAATAAAAACAAAAGAAAATATCGTGTTCGATACACTTTTGATATATCATTACAAAATATATCGCCCAGAAATATCGCTATACCGATGAAAATATCGGTATATCGATATTTATTTGATAAAAACTCACTACTGCTCAAAAATCGTTCGCATTTTCTTCGAGTTCAGTTCACAAGTGAGTTGTGTTTTGCAAGATGAACAGCCTACAACGCAATAAAGTAAATAAACTGATTAAGCTAATTATAACGGCTATTTAGAAGAGGTGGATGAGGAAATTTGTGTAATTAATAAAAAGAAGTTATGGATACGGAAATGGCTTGACAGAAGAGATAAAATAGGAGCTACTAATTGAACTTAATATTCCACAAGCATTCATTATCCAAATATTTGGAAACTAATTTTAAAGTTGTTTTTAGGCAACTAATGAACTCTACTAATTTGATAGGTTCGGACTCGTTTAGCTGATGATTCGGTAAGCACGGACGAGTGGTGGGAGGTAATATTAGCCCGAAAGATAGAATAAAATGGATCAACTCGACTAAATTACTTACTAAGCTACTCGACAAAATTCTTGTTGTTCAGACACGTTTACTTACTCGCTACTAGACTAAATTTCTGGCTTAATGCGAACTAGGCTTTAAAGATGTCTACTGTGATGTCTACCTACTTCTTGATGAGCGCAAATCTTGTAAAGCGAGTCACTTAAACATCAATCTAGAGTAATTTCCTTAAGAGTAAATTCAACTTTAAAGAACGTTTACGTTGTGAAAAATAGATAGGTAGTTATTGTACACTGATTCAGCCAAATCACTAGTTGAATAACTGTCTATAGCGAATAATGTTCATCGCTATTCGATTAATGTACATATTATATTTGAGTGAGTTCGACTATTTCCTTCTTGGTCTCATGGTCTGTGGGTTCGACAGAAAAATATTAAAAATAATAAAACAAACAGCGGTTGGTTTTTCGATGAATAGGAGCGATTAAAAGTTTTATTGAAAATGATTGCATACATATAAAAAGTACTTAAAGTACATTCTCCGACCGCCTACAATCACAAGTAAAAATGAAACTTACAAATAAAGATGCTGCTCGTTTGAATCCCTGTTTGAAGGTTGGATCAAAAATAATCAACGAGTTTAATATCTAATTACATAATATATTGAATATTACAACTTCAAACTAAAATTTAAATTGGTAACACTTTTTTCTTTCAGGAACAAGAACAATCATATCAATGTCTGAATAAAAACAACTTTGATCACTCTAAGTGCGAGAATTATTTTGACAATTACAATATTTGTAAAAAGTTTTGGGTGCGTATTAAAACTTGTAAATTGTCATCATCCTACAATTTTACATTATACGTCTTTCTTTTGCCTTCTCTGGGGTATTATTTTATTGTTAATAAAGACCGACAGACTTTGCAGCCAGAGTTGAGACAATTGACTATAGCCTGTATCCAGTATCTACTGCATGTTATATTTGTTTGTGCTGACATTTAAATTACTTTAATATTATTTACAGGGCAAAGTATACAGTGACAGAAGATCTAAGGGACTTACACCATATATGCCCGATGTAGAAGATAGGGAGAAAATTAAAGAAGAATATATAAAGAATGTTCAATTCACAAGTTGATGAAGCACAAGCAGAACTTGGAGGTGCCACAAGGTGCAGAGTTTAGTGAACTAAGGAAGGTGGAAGCACTATTAAATCTTTAATTCACAAAATGTCTTAACAGTTTCAAAATTCCTAAAATGTCCAATTCCCAAAGTAAAATATTCCAGGATAAATGTGCAACCTACTGTCACAATGGGTTTGTTGAATACATTGATTAATAATATGTTGCAAGGATCAATGTCTTTATTATTAAACATGTCATAACCATGTATTATTGAGTTTCAAAACTGTAAACTTTATTTTGGTAAAGTTACATTGTAATACAACCACAAAGGGTGTGAAGAAATCATAAATAGTTATCTACCTATTAGAAACATACAGCATAGCGCCTGCTGGAATGAGATAAACATACTTGTATAGCTTTAAGTTTCAACTCCAATCTTCCTTAGTTGTAGAACATCATGCATGAAATAGAGTGAGTACAGTATATACACATTTGTGCGTTGTTTAAACATACAGAAACATATTATTTATAGAAAATTAAGAGTGAAACATTAGCCACAACACTTATTGAAATGGGACTAAAGTGAAAATCGGCCAATTGCCGGGCTTTCTTGTAATGCAGCATTTACCTATATTGAAAAAAAAATAACCAATTTTCAGCATAGTTTGAGTACCTTCTTAACAAGGATAACTACCTTGCTACACATAATTCATCTGTGTATTCAACAAACACATCATTATATTAGATTTTACGTAAGATATTTTACGGGTCATTCTGAACTGCATGTGTAGCATGACAAACTCGAGAACGTTTTGTCTACATCCTACACATGCTGAAAGGCATTTTTCATTGTCTGATAGTAAATTATTTCATATTTTTCTAATCTTTGACATTTCAAGTGTTATATATATACAAAACATTTATTTACTTTAAATGGTTGATAAAATCATTATTGATGATTTAAATCAGCTCTCAGTATGATAGCCATTGCGTCATTTAAATTGTTAAAAATAATATAGTATCACTGATAAAAATTATTCACTAAGTGGAATCTAGCATAAAGCATTAATATACAAATTGCCATACAATAATTCGAATTTAACCTAATGAGATAAATGACTGGTGTTTGGGTTGTTTTTGTTATGAAATTAATTTGTAATTTTATTTAAAAACTTATCTAAATAATATGTAATTTTTATAAATGATGTATATTATACGTGAAATGTCTTTGCACTGGATGTCATATTGGGCTACAATAATAAGTTTTAATTTGGTAAATAGCATAATAACAGCAGTTCATTAATTGCTTTAATACAAAAGTGTAACTCTACGATATGTCAAACTATAGATTAATTTGTTATGACAAAGTCATTTTATTAATTATATATGTGTTAATTCAGTTTTTTTTTATTGAGAAGTTACTGTAAATACTGGATACTTTGCATTTGTGTAGTGTAAATATAAATTTCAATAAACATACACTTTTACTTATGGCGTTTTTATGGGGAACGTAAGAAAGAAAGGCAGTCTTCATGTTAACATTTATTTCCAGTAAAATACAGAACAGTGAAAGCAATGACAAGAGACGTCAGTTTATAAAAGCTCTAGTTAGCAGTTAAGAGTCGAACAATATCATTTACTTAGTTGCATAATGAAGCGATTATGAATAAATCTGTTTCACCAAAAATTTCTTCGTTTTCGTAAGGTAAGGTACATAGAGGGTGTTACTCTTTTTTTATTTTTTATGAATTGCAACGTATATATCCGTTCAAATTGTGTATTTCTCCTTTGGCGTTCACAGACTTTTGATGAAGGAAGGGAGAAGTTTAAAAACATATATTGACACTTAATTATGCAACAAATAGTGTTCAATTTGCTTTGACTTAATTAAATTCGAGTTGAAGGCAAACTCGGGAAGAACATGTTTGCGTATATTAGTATAACATTTTTACATTACAAATTTTAAATATATTTTTGGTCTTAAGTACTACGAATTCAATAAATGTTTTACTATGCAGTAAATGTTGCATAAATATACTATTCACTGAAATATTACCGAAACTTAGTGAAGACACCTGATACTTTGTATTTTACACCTTATGGTTATTGAAACAAGACTCGTAATAGATTATAATTGTAGAGTCAGTGTCATAATTATTGAAGCAGTCAAAGCGATCAAAAAGATGTTCAGTAGAGAAGTTCATTTCTATGTAGGCCAACGGGTTTGACGCATTAAGGCGCGTTCACATATAACGCCCGTTTACAGGTCCGTTTAAACGTGTATGTTATTAGCGTATGTAGTTGTATGAGCGAGTTCACACATAATACAGCATTCCGGATCCAGTAGAAAATGCCGTTCCGACAAAATAAGCAGTAATCCGTTTTACAGGACCGTTTAAACCTATGTGTTATTAGCGTATGTAGTTGTTTGGACCAGTTCATACATAATACAGTATTTCGGATCCAGTATACTGATCCGTTTATGGGATCGAACCGCGCGAGGCTAGGCACGTGGGTGCGCGGGGTGTGGGAGCTGCACACAGCCGCCATAATGTATCCAATAACGCCAGGGCTTCCTCAGACACAGACGACGATAGTACCAATACAACACGACAACGTCCATCCTCGTAAAAAGTAGGCGAACACTGAAGAACAATAGTTCAGTAGTGTAAATGCTGTGTTAATACTATCTCCAGTAGCGACGGATCCGTTAAACGGATCCTGCAAAAAACGGACGTTATATGCGAACGCGCCCTTAGCTGTTTTACCATTCTTCAAAAATAATGATACTTGACTGATTTTTTTTAATCTTGAGATCCATATAGAATTTGATGTCGAAGAAACTATAAAAAATCAGTCAAGATTAATTAATTTTGAAGAACGATAATGACGGGTGTATCAAAACTGAAGTTCTGTTACTGCGAATTAACTCTATATATACTATATAGTCGACTAGAGGCATCCCAAGTAGACCGCGAAGCCTCATTATAAAATATATTACTGCTATACAATCGTAGTATGGATACTACCAAAAAACGTATAATAATACTTTATTTATCACTTAGGTACAATATATTAAACAAAGTTCCTTCTTTGTATCCGAAAAAAAGCTAGTCAATCAAAGTTCCATACTGATAGAATTTTTTCTACAAACAACTATTCGAATCAAGTTGACTCGGTAAGAGTCCAATAGTGTATAGAATCAAATAAAAGTACTAATCTAGATTCATCGGACCAATTTATCCCGTTAATGTGTTGTTAATAATTGATATTATTTATGCAACATTTATCAATAAATCTTATTTTATACTACAGAAAAATGCATATGTGTACAAAACAGCGATTCCAAAACTATGTATCCATTAAAAAGCTTCACTAACGAGTTAGAGGCACTTTTACTTTGTATGATTGAGTAAATACTAGTGACATTTACAGCGTGAATTATTGTTTCAACTGAATTTTAAGTTTATACTTAAATAATAAGCAGAGGTCGGAATTAGGTAGAGTTATTTATGTACTTGCATCGAAATGTTGATATTAATGTGGACCTTCCCGGGATTTCTTTATTTCTTTCTTTCATTGATGTAAGTTTGGCAACGTCGTGCGTGCAGTAGTTTTAATTTTGTAAAAGTAAAAAACCTTAAAAAATTTTTTTTTCATTTCTTCTGGTAATTCCATATTTCATAGGGTAAATTGATAAACCTGCGACTTATTTTATTAATAATAATATATTAATATTTAACAACATCACATACATTGCTCAGATTCCAAGATGAGTAGCTTAAGACCCGTATTATGGAGTATCTGAGACAACGAAGATCACACAACACCCAGACCCGAGACAATATAGAAAAGTTAATTTTCCACGTTAACCCGACCGGGAATCGAACCCGGGACCTCAGAAATGGCGACACCTTGAAACCGGCGTGCGAACCACTCGGCTATGGGATTTTTCTGCTCTTTAAAATTAATCTCGGTATTTGAGGCATATCCACTTTATTCTTTCGCTGTATGAAATCAGTGTAAGTACATGAATAACTCTACCTAATTCCGACCACTGGTAATAAGGACTATTTTTGTTTCGGGAAGATATGAGAAGTGTACTATATGTCAAAATAATAGAGCCCATTATTTCTGAACTTTGATATTACCTTGAGTGTGGTTGGTTATATAAGATAGACAGTCAATACTGAAGATTTTGAAAATGTTTTCCGTTATATCAATAAGAATCGATATTTTCAAATACGCACGGCCGCACGTCACGATACACACCACCACCGTAAGCAGATCCCTAATAGTATGGAAGTTCTATACGAAGCGCGGCTGGTACAAAGTACATTCATTCACAATGCATAGTATGACGTGCAGTCGTGTGTACAAATAAAATAACACGAAGTATGGATCAAAACGATATAATAAAAAAAAGAAAACTTATATTACGGTCCGTTTTATTATAAAGCGAGGACTTGAATTTAGTATCAGGTTAAAACCATTATCCGACCAAAATAGGTCAACAGGTGTGAATCTGAAGTTTCCTCTTCTGTCGTAGTCAAGGAATATAAACGAAAACATATTCTTTGAGTGATCGGAAACTTCTTAAAAGGAAAAACAAGTGAAAAGATTGTGGCAGCGTCCTTATTCATGCTAAACCATGAAGTCATGCTTAGATTTTTTTTTTGAGATAGTTGATCCCAGAGCCCCCAGACCTACGTCATTTTAGCAAAGCTGAAATTTTGAGGATTGTTAGTACAATGTGATGTTAGGAGCTATGCGTACCCACTACCTTGAAAGCGGGGCCGTTTCTCAGGTAGCGCGGAATACAGGTGCGTAAAAAACTTACTTACCTACGTTAAAGTAGCAAAGTTTGTTTTCACGTATGTTTTTGAGAATATTATGTAGAATTCAAATTCACTATTGCCAGACACTTTCCGTGGGCCATCACTTCTACCAGACGTCTTTAATATTATTTAAAAATTAGGTAAACTATTGAATTTTAAAAGTACTTGGAGTGTTTAGGAAGATGAGGAACATTATTTTGGATATTATTTCAAGAATAGAATTACAAAATATTATATGGTTTTCTCTATAAAAAATTATATCCGTAGCTATGCATTTTCATTATCATCATCTCCATTGTCCGAGCCCTTACTTCCCTCATCAAATTCACATTCAAATTGAATATATAAATCATCTTCACCTTGATCTTCATTGTTACTTAATCTCTGTAAAAAAAAAATTAATGATGTTGAAAATAGTTACAAGTATATTGAAATCATTTAAAGTTAAAATAAAATACCTAATTCGTTTTCAAGTGACTTGCTTACAAAACTTGGTAATTGGTCACCATCAAACCAGTTTAAATTATATTGGCTATCTTTTAAAACCCACCCATTATTCTCTGGGCTCAAAATGCTACGATTTTTCATATGAGCTTTGCTCCAGATACTTGCAATATAATTTTCTCGTCGAAACTGTTGAAACAATTCGGATTTGCATGGTGGTAAATTGCTTGCGTCAAAATTTCTTATATTTTGCCGCTGGAATTCCTCATTCACATTGTCAACTGTATATGTATTAATAAAAAGTTGTAGCCGTGCAGCATCTACATCAATTATTCCGGAAACATTGTATAACTCGCAGATAAATTTTTGAATTACATCGAATAATAATATTAAAGACGTCTGGTAGAAGTGATGGCCCACGGAAAGTGTCTGGCAATAGTGAATTTGAATTCTACATAATATTCTCAAAAACATATGTGAAAACGAACTTTGCTACTTTAACGTAGGTAAGTAAGTTTTTTACGCACCTGTATTTCGCGCTTCCTGAGAAACGGCCCCGCTTTCAAGGTAGTGGGTACGCATAGCTCCTAACAACACATTGTACTAACAATCCTCAAAATTTCAGCTTTGCTAAAATGACGTAGGTCTGGGGGCTCTGGGATTGTTGGCACGCAAATTGGACTAAATATAATTTGAATCTGTGATACTGTGTTTTTGTTTCCATAAACATCTTAGATATTACAAGTGAACTTAAACAGGCACAGAATAAAGTGAAGCCAAATAAAAATATATATTTTCCGTCAGTTTGTGGAAAAAAATCATATAAAAAAACCGTTATCTCTTCGCTATATGATCGTGTCAATTTTTTGTTGTTATTATTAAAAAGAAACATTAAAACTACTTTGATATATAATTATTTATATAATATTGATTAAAACATAAAATGTGGTTTTAAAAAATACTATTTTCGAGATAACCTTAGTTTTCTGTGTCCCTTTGTAAACAAATCAGTGGATCAGTACAAACATTAATCTTAAAATAAACACAATAGGGATGATGACTGGGTAAAAAAAAAATGCAATTCTATTTAGACCGTCAGTCAGATAATAGAAAAATATTAGATACGTATTGTTTTACTTCAATTTAACAAGAAATAGTTTAGATAACAGGCATTAAAGTTGAGAAGTGGGGGCTCGCTACGTCACAGTTGAGTAGAAAACGTACTCTCATGCGACATTTCAACTAAATGTAACGCCGTAATTTTATGATTACGAAAAAAATACGTGTTTAATATTTTTTAACACTCTACCTGACGGACAAACAACCAAAAATTAGTCATCATCCCTATTCAATAAAATGAGGTTACAAAATAATGTACTTTATATACACGCAATCAGGTCCATTTCACATTGCACAGATTTATAATCATTTTCGCAGATTATAAGTAAATGAGAAGTATATTAACTATACGAATTCAAACATTATAACGTTAACCTTCTATAAAGTTTCAGATTTTTAAAAATAATACAAAATTTGCATAGAACGTTATTTTCTAAATTTTATTATGGGCGGAGCTTAAAGCGGCGTCCTGATTGGCTAACATAATACGTTCAAACGGTGCGTTTGCGTATGAACAGTATCCTGAAGCAGTAACTGAAGCTCAAGATCGCGAAAGCGGAAGAATTGTTAATAACGATTAGACCATACCTTTTTTTATGACTCGGTAACCGGCATATTAATCAGTGATCGAAAATATCTGTTTTTGTTATTTCTGAAATTGTAATGGAAAGTGACTTCATTAAACTATGAAGTCACTCTCCTAAGACTTCTCTGTGTGAAATAAAACAGGGAGAAAAAAGCAGGCCTTGCTGAATTTTTAGCCGGTTCTTAGTACAAGGTCTCCCGCTAGAAATTCTCGAACGGATAGCATAGTTTTTGACTTTCACAAGTTCTCGTAACAGCTTAGACTAAATAAATGATGTTGAATTTGAGTTTAAAGATATCACACGTGTTCTAATAATTAGGACAACAACTATTATCACATCTCACGATATTTTTTATTGCACGATAAAATAGTATCTTTGATCATAAGACTGTTAGCAAATTAGGATACCGCCTTTATACTCACATGAGTATAAATAAAATAAAATTTACTCGACTAGATACGAGTGAAGTTTTATAGTAAGCCAATTCTATTGCACAGGCACGTTTTTTGGCTTCATTAAATAATAAATATTAGATATAATATCAGACAACACACACATTCTTCAGATTCCAAGATGAGTAACTAAAGCCTTCGTATCATGGAATCCGTATCACTGTCTTGTCTACTATCCTGAGTTTTTTCGTTTGCCGGCGACCCCCTGAGTAAGGCTATACGACCCCTCTAGGGGTAACACTGCTTTAGATGAAAAAACACGTCGATTACAAAAACGTGCGTATACAAAAGATGTTTAGACAAAACTTGATTATATTTGTCACTCATTACCTTAAATAGTGACAAGTTAGCAGCTAACACAAAGTGTAACTTTAAACCCGTTCCCTTTAATCCCAATACCCAATTATTCCTATATAAGGCCATATAGTTTGTATAATAATTTGTAAAATAATGACGATCATAATACCATGAGTATTTACTTTTTATATGAGTAAATTACACTTTTATATACTGAAAATTTCAAAGAAATACTGAATAAATCTCGAAAAAAAATCTTATCAATACAAAGCGTAGATTTATAATGGAAACTATATTAAAGAGGAATAATGTGACAATGAAACGCGAGCGAGGATTAGTTATTAGACATTTTATCGGAGCAGCCATGTTCTTTTTAGAAAGTTCTGGAAAAACCGAGGCGTTTTTTTTTTTTATTTAACATACATTGGACAAACCATACTATAGTTCCATGACATCATACCAGGATGCGTGATTTTAGAGATTTACCATCTTTCTCAAAGGTAAAAAAAAGATGGGTGATCAAAAATGTAATCTTCTCGAATCATTTGCGTAAATCACGCTCAGACGTTGGACGTTCGCCTTTTGCTTTTATATAACAGTTACTAATCCGGACAGAGTAGCGTAGTGATTTATGGTTCATTCTCAATGTGACACTAATACATCGTCGTAATATTCGTTTCATAATAAATCTACATTTTATATTTACATAATAACGAAAAATGGTAAACACTTAAATAAATAAAAATATATATTACAACAAAAGGTTAAATAATAAAATTAAAACTTAAAAGTTATGGAAATTATATAACTAAATATACAGCATGCATTACTAAATTATCATCTTACATTTAAAATTTTTTGACAATGCGTACTATAATTTCTTTAAAACAAAAGAGTTGCACTAAAAAATGAAAGTAACCATAGTCTGTGGAATAATTAATTAAGGAAATAATTACAAATGAAAAGGCTGTATGCCCATGCCTTCCCCTCCTAAGGAAATGAAAAATTGGACCAAAATGAATGAACAGTTATGTAGAAAATTTATTTGAATAAATTTGCAGATGTGTGGTTTAGAAATCCAATGTATTAAGGTTTAAAATGACATAAAGGTAGCATTTTTTCTTCACTTTTTGGCAATCGTATCGTTGCTCTGGCAAACAGAAGGTATAGATGTAAATTGTTCTGGTATTATAAACCTACGGATTATTGAAATAAGGCTGATATTTGACTATGTACTATTTATGACATTTAGCGTATATAAGTAAATATTTCAACTATGATATTTGTTTATTTAATGACTATGTTACATTTGCAAATTTAACGCACAATCTTTATTTCAAACATAACATTCTAATAACAACATAATTATGTACTTCAAAGGCCATGATACTTTAGAATATATTTTGAGTACTACCGTGAAAAAAAGTGTAACTAGATAATATACCATCTTAAAATCTGTCTTTGTCATTATGGAATCAAACAATATTTGTACATTATAAAAATGTTATAGATATAATTGGGAAACAAGTAACGATAGTGTCATTCGTGTCATATGAATTCTAATGAAATTATCAAAATGAACTAACACTTTTTCTCACGATATTACAAGATCCTAGATCAATGTGTGGTATAATTTATATATTTATTTCGTATAATAAGAGTGAACTTTAGGGCTTATTCACAACAATATTAATGTAAACGGATTTAGTTATTAAATAATTAAGAAAAGAACTATGAGTTACAAGACACGAAATAAAATCTCAATTTGATACTTTGTGATTCTTATTTTTAATCAATCATGCGAAAATATTGAACATTCTACGGGCAAGATTTGGTCTTTATCGATTATGAAATCATTGAATTTAAATACAAAGAAATATGTAGAAAACATAGTAAGTATTCAGGTACAAGGACAATAAATAAATAAAAAAAAATAAGGCGTAAATAAGCCCCGATAATGGCCGTTTGGATATGTTTGGCGTACACAATGTTGCCCTACCTCATGTTACGTCTAGCACGCACTGTCGTCTAGGAGTCAATCTGAACGTTGCTTTATGCGGAAACAACGTATTCTGAAGTGGTCACACATCTGTCGTACCTGTAAAGAATACCAAAATAAGATGCAGAAGTCGCCGAACAGATAGAATTTACAATGACCTGTTATTGCACATCTCGTGCATTAATATATTGCTATTGCACTCGCATAGGCGCATCTAGCCAATTTATGTCATAGTAAAGTAAACCTAAAATATTTACGATATCTCGATGTTAATAGGCAGTAAATTCTAATGTTAACGAAAAAATGGTACTTCCATGGAGTGTCAACAATAGGGTAGTTTCGATAGTGAAAAAAAAGTCACGAAATTGCACGAAACTAAAATTTACATAGTTATAAACATAGATATTTTGATTTTGAGTTTTAAAATCGCACTATTATTTTATTATCTTGAAATTAGAAGTCAGATTAGTCCTATTAAATATATAATCACTGTTAGATGGCATTGTTATTGTTTTATTGACATCTTTTAATATTCTACTCTATTTTGTGTACATATCACAATGGCGTCATGAATATGATGGACAGCGTTTTTGCGGGTATAAAAAAAGTTTAAATTTTGATTTATTTTAAAACAAGAAAACGTGTTTATTTTACCGAAATGTTTGTTTTATGGCTTTTTTTTTAAAGTTAAAATGAACAGTTAGAAGTATAATTTCAAACGGAGTAGAATACCCTATTGAATTTCCCCACTGTATTTATCTAAAACCAAATATTATTAGTGCAACAGCGTCTTAAAGAATCAATGATGATACTCTTTTGTTATTTTGCGATATAGAGACCGGAACTGTATCAAAAAACTGCTATTTAGCTATTGTGTATAAAATAAGTTTATATTTTCGAAACATTTTTGTCTAAATTAAAATATTTTGAAGTTATAAATATATTTTAGATTAAATACGATTCAATGGTCAAATTTCAAATGACAATTATATAATAGCTTGATTGAAGCCGTGCCTTGTAAGGCAACTAGTACGAATTAACATCACACCTGAAGGCCTTCGTCTACCCAAACAGCTGAAAGAAATATTTGTACATGTATTTTAAATTTTCGATAAATATATATATATATATTTTTTTTAAGTTTTGTCAGTCCTGTTAAGTCCTGGGTAGCTTAGTGCTTAGAGCAGTCGCCCGGATTACGAAAGGTCGTGGGTTCGAATTAGAAATCTGAGTACCAGGAACAAAGTGGATTTTTAAACATTCTTCATTAAGAATATATTTAATTTTCAAAAATTCTCGTAAACACGCCAATTTCTGTCATGGCGTCGCTATGACGTCACGCTCCTCTAAAACTAATATCGTATCGTAAACACTACCAGAACGAAAATAATATGGATTTATTTTCGTTTACTGTCTGCATCCATATTCTAGGCATAGACTACGACATCTTATCGATGTTATGGCGATATTTTTTCTCATTTTACTACTTTAACATCTAGTTTAGTAACGACGAACGAACAATAAAGAATAACGGTTATGGATGTGACACCAGTGTGACCATCTGAGTCATTTATCCCAAATTTATCCACCGATGTCGATGAAATTTATCCAACGACATGTCAAAGTAGTAATATGAAACGAAATATGGTCATATCGTCGCTAAGATGTATCCTATGACTAGAATCAATGCTATAGAGTTAGGCTCCATAGATAATACAGACATAAAGACCACGCTTTTCTTTTTCAAGGCTTGTGAAGTTTGTCATCATCATCTATGTATTGATGTACGTGTATGTATATATGTATATGTATGTATATTTTCGCTGTATATATGTAATTATGTGTAAGTTTGTTCATATTTTTGGTATATTGTAATATGTTTATGATTAGTTAAAATTTGTTGTTGCAGTTTTTTTATCTGTACCACCATCGTGTGTATCTATTTTTCCAAAGGTTGACTGGGAGAGAATGCTATTAGCATTAAGTCCGCTTTTTGTACCATCTTTATATTGGTCAATAAAGTTCAATAAATAAAAATTACAAAAACGGGTGTTATGTTCATTCATGCGATTTATAAATAATATTTTCAACTTACCACACATGTACCGTAGTGTAAATGCGAGAGTACTATGAGAGCAGTGACCGAGTAGAACGCAGTCACTTCATACTGCGGATACAGTAGTGACAGTGTAGCGGCCAAAGTCAACGGCCACAGCAGCCAAGTGACTGCTTCACATCGCTGGTTGCTCATCTGGCTGACTATCAGTCGACACTGGAGACAAAAAAATCATAGTAAATTAATTCTTATTTATGTAGAGTTATAAAGGTCTACCCCACTAAGTAGGGTGTGGGAGTAAAAAAATCTTTACTTATGACAAAACCATCGATTATGCTATTCTGGAATGCGAGAGCCTGGCATATATTAAGCATTTCTTTAACACACTGCGAAACCTGCGAACCCTTGTCTCATCTCATATTATATATTTCTATACATTTATTTATTCAAAATCAATTAATTTATTTACATGTACAAAAACAATAAAACCTTACACAAAATTTTATAAACTAGCTTATTCTAAACAAACTTTAAAATTACCTATACTTTGATAATGCAGCGCGATAGTTTCTTCTTCTTTTATTAATTATCTGCGTATTTCACACAATTTTGCCAATGTCAAGTGAATAAATTAATTCCTACATGTAAAATGAAAAGATTGAAAGATAATTTAAAACATTAGTATCTTTACTCTTTGTAGTAATGACAGTGTCTCGCGAGATAGTTTAAAAGTGGCCATCTGTTTACTATTGGGATAACAATGATATAAAATAAAATTGACATTGGCAATACAGGCTTAATCATTACATACTCTTTGGTTAAATGGGTACTGATTATTGAGTTTCTGTAAGCAAAATTCTACTTTACGGTGACTAACCTTTTCTTTCTCCCACTGTATGTCATCTTATAAAATTACTGATTACGGTGAAATTACAATAAAAAAAAATCATAGCGCCATATTATTACTGGCAGAAAATATTTAAATTTTTGAAGCAATGAAAATCCCTAATCGGCATTAAAATATTCCAACATTAAACAAATATTAATTAAAAAAAAGAAACGACAGTGAAAGTTTATTTTCAAATTTAATGAAAAAAAAAAAAAATACTCACAGCCACGTTACTGAACACGGTGCCGATTAGAAGGAATAGAACCCGTAAGTCATAGTCCGGCAGCCGCGTAGATTTATGCACCCACACGGAACATATCGCGAATACCGTTAGAAACGACCACAGCGGCCTTAATGCCTCTAACGGGGAACGCATCTTGCCCGTTCGTAATTTGTATGATCTGTTGAATGTTTAAACCAAACTATAATTATATTATTTTCTTACACTCGGAACTATAGATAGATAACTCTTGTTGAGAATACAATATTTACAGATACAACCATATAGTCGAGAGAATTACTTGAGAATGAATGCTGAAAAAACATCACGTGATAAATGAACTGTCCCTATTCTAACTATTAACAATTTTTACTTTATAAAAATAAATTATAATAGATAATTTAACATCTAATTTCACAACAAATAATTTCTCTTGTCAGGATGTTATATATGTTACCAGGGACTATAGATATGAGACCTGGGATCTCAGATATGGTACTCAGGGTCTCACTCAGATATGGTATTCAGATTCTGATGGACGAATCGAAATTTAGCCTTCGTCTCGGGTGTATTGGCAACAGAAATTAGTCGAGTTTAAATATATGAACTTAATATAACTTACCTATAAATGTTGTAAATAGCTACAGGCAGGTTTGTAAACACACCAGTGCCATATATTAGAAACTCGAATACATTTGCCAATGTGTATCCACCAAACAAATATTGCTTATAGAATGCTGTCCCTTTCATTCCCGTCCATAGAAAGCAGAATGTGGAAGCCTACGAAGATTTTATAATATTAGAAAAGTAATTGAAGAAGCAATGGATTTTAAGCCTTAACCTATTGAATTTTAAATTATGGAAAAGCCTTTTGTGCTGCTTTTAGAAGCTTGGAGTCAAACCATCAACCTTTTATATTATTTCCGAGTCCTGCCAAAACACACTCTTTTTAAGTAAAAAAAAAAAAAAAAAAAATTAACAAAGCAATAAAATAAGATTTTTAAACTGTTAGCTGCTTATTTTCTACAGTTATATTAGCAATGGGATAGTCTATTTCTATCTCACTCACCCACATACTGAAATCATAACCCCATGGTAGAAACAGAATACCAGTGTTGTATTTTTCCCAGTGGCTGATGTAAAAGTTGAGTAGAAGATTCCACATAACATAATACATTCTGAAAATATATAAACTCATTTCAGTTATATAAAACGAGTGCTGAGGGTTCCTCAAAAATTTGTAAGTTTATACATAGCGTTACACATACTTCTAATTTAAAAAAAAAATAAAGCCATGCATTTAGTCCAAAATAAAATAAAGAATACTACGAAGAATAGAATTGAACATATAACTTTTAAATTGTTAAAATGAAAACCGTGCGCCTTGTAAATTATATGTGGGTAATAATTTTTTTATAGCTACAAGCCAAGCTTTGCTCAGTGTAGCACACTAGAATAAAGCACAGTTTGTTAAATGTTAATGAAAATAAAGTTTATAAATAATTATTAAAATGCACAGTTTTTTTCGAAAATAAAGAAATAGATGATAATTTTACCTTATAGGCGGAATAGAGAAGTCTCCTCTCCCGAATATAGAATACAGGCACGCAGGGATGAAGAAGACTGAGTAGGAGTCAAGACCATGGTCAAATAGTTCTCCTAGGGGGCCTGAAGTTTGAGTACGTCGAGCTTGTTTCCCGTCGATGCCATCTAAGCACAAAAAGAGAGAGAATACAGTTATTTATTGTTAAAATTAAATACAAAATTGAATTCCTGACTGTTTTGGGAAAACTATTTCTAAACTTTAATACGACTCTGGAAAGCAAACACGTAGTAACCAGTAAAACCAAAATTGTTCTTCGGAGTAGAAAAATTATTATTAATCGACCTATGGTTACCATATTTGTTACCATGGATGTTAATTAGTTTTTTTTAAAGATAATAAGATATTCTGCTCTAAATAACAATTTTGCGGGTTACCTACGTGTTTGCTCTCTGATCATATTAAACCACTATTAGATTTATTTTTTATTAATGAATTTAAATGGTCACGCAAAAAGAAAATTGAGCCGTAACTTGCACTCGCAACAAAGACTCGCAATATTGAAATGTGACGTCAAACGATACTCCGTTTTGGTTGCCCGTGTTTAACTTAATAACTTATTAATATAGTAATGGTTAAGTATTTTTTAATACATGAAGTAAATTTCGAAATGACGTAGGAATAGAATATCTGAGACATGTATAATCAATCAATTTTGTTTTGTATTTTTATACAAAAAATGGAATCAATAGAATTTCTTCACTAAAAGACGTGAATTCAGACACATGAGTGAATTCGAATTCGGGTTCGGATTTTTACAGAATCGCCCTGCTGCTCTATCAGGTAAATTATACAGAGTGAAAATTATTGAAATGCCTTTGAAATTACATTATTTCATTAATTACAACAGAATGATGAATGATTGATGAGAATACGCTCTGTAGGAGCGAAAAATAATAAGTGCTTGAAAGATTCGTCGGTCCTGTTAGGTCCTGGGTAGCTCAGTGGCTAGAGCAGTCGCCCGGATTGCGAAAGGTCGTGGGTTCGATTCCCATCTCAGGGTGCCAGGGACCAAGTGGATTTTTTAAACATTTTGTGTTAAGAATATGTTTCAGTATAGCATCATCATCAGCCCTTTTACGTACCCACTGCAGGGGCTCAGGCCTTCCTTATGGATGGCTAAGGAGTATGGGCCATGACCCTCCACGCTGGCCCAATGCGGATTGGAGGGTATCGACGACTGCAAATGCAGCCGGGACCAACGGCTTAACGTGGCTTCCGAAGCACGGAGTCAGTATAGCATTGTGAATGCGAAATTAATCAAGATATAATATTATAGTTTATAATATTGGCATCTATACTCACCAAGCGTATACGCTAAGAACAGAAACACCGCAAGTATGTACCACAGATGGCGTGGTATAATTTCCGTGTAACCATTGATTGGTTGTTCTGTAGTAGTGGCGTTCCTCAGAGGTGTGCTCGCCGCGTAGTAATCGTAATCATAATACGAGAGAAGTAGGAAATCGAGTACAGTGAGGAGAAAGCCAGCAAATGTGAGCACATTAGGCGCCACCCATTTTGGTACTAGCTGAAAAAGTTAGAAATATAAAACTCGTACGAATTCACATGACACCTGACAGCTTATTTGTCCTGGAACGAAAATTGGAAAAAATTCGAATCGTTCTAAAAGTTTGGCAGTATGTTAAGTCGTACCTCCGTTCCACAATAAATCATCGAAAAATACGTTTCTTTGGTCTCGTAATGTATTTCCAAAATAGATGAAAATTTGTTTTTGGTGAAATAAGTAAAAATAAACTAAGGTAGCGCGGGTTATGCGAATCTCTTCCGAAACATGAATGAATTAGAGATAATAAATTTTAGGTTTCCAGTCTATTGTCGGCCTTTATCGCCAACTCAACGCGCTAGCTATTGCGATGGTGAATAATATTAATAAAAACCAGTGGATATTCCAAATTTTAGGTTTACATTACGATGACGAAATTGGCGTTGTGTTGCACCAACTTTTTTTTCACGCAATTTTTATGGGTAATAGAGCACACAAAGGAGCATAACATATATTAATTTCGTGATTGTAAGTCACAGAGAACTCAGAAAAAAAACATGTTTTTTTTTATTTTTATTTTTTTTAATGTAATTTTTTATTCTAAAAATTATAAAAAAATATATGTGATATACTTTGTAATGTAACCTAACACCTCGCGTTAGTTTCACTTCTTTATCTTAATTAGCTTCAGAGATATATCACATTCAGTAATAGTCAAGCATACGGATATTTTGCTCTCTATCTCAAGGTCAAAGCGGAAGTCGGTCGCGAAAAGTACATAAATCGTGTTAGAACATCAAGTCTATATTAAAACATAAGTTTCAATATCGATTCCCATTTGGGGGCCGACTCGTCATACGTATCCGGCTTGGCTAGATCCGTCTGTACGAACGCAATAGCGCACGAGGGCAAGAGATATATAATGACGGGTTATCATCAGCCCTTATATGCCCCCACTGTATGGGCACAGGTCTTCCATATGAGGATGGTTAAGGAGTGTGAGTCATCACCCTCTGGCCTAATGCGGATTGGAACTGCGGGACCAACTGCTCAACGTGCCTTCCTAAGTACGGAGTAGCTTTAAGATAATATTTTTTTGGTAACCCATCCAATTTAATCCAATCGCTGTGTGAAATTCTTTCTGTCCGGCGATCATGGTATAGTGGGTGTAACTTTATCCGAAACAAAGATAGTTACGAACTGTATATTATTTCTAGTACGAACAAAGACTTTTTATGAGTTAAGATAAAATATTACAGTGTTCTGTTAAGGGCCGTCCATTAATCACGCGATGTTTTTTTCAGTATTTTTTAACCCCCCCCTCTTCTACGGTGACACATTGTGAGGTTTAAGACTAACCTCTTCTTCATCCAACTCACATTTTTTTTAGTACCTACAAAAACCTTAATTTTTAACGCTGCTTTTCGGTTTAGTAATCGCGCGTTTGAGGAAAAAAATAAAGACACGTTATATATTACTACACCCCCCTCCCTCCTTGTGATAATATTACGTGATTTTTAAGAAACCCCTCTCCTCTTTCGAGCCTCACGTGATTAATAGACGGCCCCTTATTGATTGTTTTATTACAAGGCAGAAGCAGAATTTCACATAAAACTCAAAACCCACATGGAATCATTTATTTTAACAGGTGATGACACTTCAGATGCAGCTGGGATTAATGATTATTTTGCCTTTTAACATATGAGCTCAAGATAATAATTGATCATCCATTCAAAACCCGGCCTTTGTAAAAAGTTGCTTAACTCTTGCAAAAGCAGAACATTGCTCATTGCATCATTGTGCGCCACAGTAGTACCTATTAATATTTTCGTGTCCTAATATCTAGAGCATGTCTCGGTGGATGCTGATAAGATTTTTATCAAAAGATTGTGAGCACACTATTCTCCTACAGTAGTAGTATAAGATGTAAAACTATGTAGATTTCACCATCTTTTATAGCCAAACATTACTATTACTAATATAAGTTATATTTGTTTATTAATCACATGTTAACCAGTCTAATAACAACAATCAGTAACCAGCTTTATTTTAGTTATCATTTGGCATTTGAGTAAATGCCTAACAAAAGATGTAGAGGTCAGATATATAATTATTTAGTCAAACATAACAGGCTAAAGAACAGAGAAATGGCAACCCTAGATGTAAGATGGTTTTCACTTGTGATGTAGTAAAAAACATTCCAAAAAACCAAAAACAATAAAATCGAAAGGAAACTATATTCTGCAAGAAACAAATATAAACACCTACCAAGTAACCGATAAATACCAAAATATTGTCTCACAAAAGAAATCTTTGAAAATATACTATGCTAATATGCGGAGCATAGTCAAACTGGGTAAATTTGATGAATTGCAATGCATACTCAAAGGGTTTGAACACGTTATAAACATTATTATTCTAACTGAAACTTGGATTAAGTCTGAAGCAGAGGCAAAATACTTTCAAATCCCAAATTACAACAACAGCATTATTATAATCACAGAGATCAATATGAGGGTGGTGGGGTGTCAATCTTCATACACAATAATTTAAAGCACTCCCATATTGAAGATGCATGTATAAACGGGCACCACTACCTATGGATACACCTTGAACAATGTCACATTGATTTTGGGAGTAGTATACAGGAAAAGAGATACGAACTTACAACAATTTTTAGATGACTATTCAAATCAAATTACCAAACGCAAAAGAGCGATCATTGTTGGTGACTTAAACTTTGATCTCCTCAAATCAGATCGTGCAACGATTTTGTACAAGGAAACTCTTCGTGAAAGTGGTTACAGAATTGTAAACAAGATTGATGAATATTTTTGTACCAGAGAGACCCAAAACAAGCAAAACGATTATTGATCATGTAAGCTCAAATCTGAAGGAAAACTACTTTCATATGGTTATCCTAGACACACCTCTCTCAGATCATAAACAATTATATATAGAACTCAAACGATGTCAGCTAGCACCTCCAAAGAAATTACAGTACGAAGCTATAGACTATAAAATTCTTTATAAAACTATGCAGGACAAGTATATAACTGATCAAAGTCAATCGTATATATTAGGAGAATTAGAAGAAAAACTTTTGAATTGTATTATAAAAAGTAAGACGAAAAAAGAAAAAGTACAAAATCCTCCTCGAAAAGATTGGATAAATAAGGAATTAATACAACAAATTAACATTCGAAATAAACTGTGGAAACAACACAAACGGAATCCCAAAAATGACAATATGAGAGAAATATTTATAAAGAAAAGAAATGAAGTAGCAAAAAATATACAAACAACAAAAGCCAAGTACTTTCATTCGGCCCTTATAAAGTACAAAAATAAACCCGCGAAAATGTGGTGGCTGATAAATTGTTTGTCTAACAATAAAATGAAAGAAACATCAAACATAAACAAATTGATAAACGAAAATGGACTCCATTTGAGTGACAAAATCGAAATATGTGAATGTTTTAACACTTTTTTTGCTGGTGTTGGTTCAAACCTTGCGGCTCAGATTAAGAAAGCTCCGAGTAACGGTACCAAAAGTGCAGATGGCACTGGATTTGGCTCCTGTAGGCTTAATTGCCTGGAACCGGTAACTGCAGCTGAGATTTCCAAACTAATTGACAATTTAAACCCAAATACAACCTCAGGGTTGGATGGCATCAGCTCCAAAGCGGTGAAATGTGTTAAAAATCTTATAATTGAGGATTTGGTAGCCTGTATAAATAAAAGCTTAGAATTAGGAGTTTTCCCTGATAGCTTAAAAATTGCTAAGGTTACTCCAATTTACAAATCTGGCTCTAAATCGGATCCTCAAAATTATCGCCCTATTTCGGTTCTGCCCGTACTTTCTAAAATATTTGAAAGAATCTTATATAAACGACTTGATGACTTATTATTGTCCATGGGCTACTTATGTGATAAACAATACGGTTTTAGACCAAAATCAAATACGTTATCCGCTACTGCAGACCTTATTACAAAAATAAAAATGAGTATAGATAGGAAACAAATAGCGCTGGGTGTTTTTATAGACCTTAAGAAGGCATTTGATACAGTAAGCCATGAAATTTTAGTACAAAAACTTGCAGATATTGGTGTAGCTGATGTTGCTCTCGATATTTTCAAATCCTACTTAACAAATCGCAAGCAAATAGTAAAAATAGATAAATCGCAAAGCTCTCCCAAAACTATAACTTACGGTGTGCCGCAGGGCTCGATCTTGGGACCACTGCTGTTCCTAATATACATAAACAATATAGAGGGGATAGGCTTATCAGGGGATGTAACTTTGTATGCCGACGACACTTGTCTTTTTTACTTTGGTACAGAGATTGAGCTTATAGTAGCAGAGGCACAGAGAGATTTGGATTTATTAAGTGCATGGTTCCAGAGTAATGTGTTGACAATTAATATAGACAAGACAAGTTATATCATTTTTAAAGCTAAAAATAAAAATATAGGCGACTTTAACCCGTTATTCATAAACGAGATAAAAATAAAAAATGTTGAACAAGAAAAATATCTGGGACTAATTCTAGACAATAAATTAACTTGGGTTCCACACATTCAGAAAATCAAAACCAAGCTGATATCTTTGATGGGTATGTTGAGAGGAATAGCGCGGTGTCTTCCACTATCTACACGATATACTGTTTATAATTCTATGATTAAACCACACATTGACTATCTTGTGGAAGTATGGGGTAGCGCAGCTAAGAGTAACATAGCTATGCTTCAAATTGCTCAAAATAAATTATTGAAGGTTTTATTTCATTACGATTACTTTACACCAACCGATAAACTATACAAACAATTAAAAGTAATGAATATATCACAAACATATACCTACCAAACATGTATATTAGTGCGTAAAATATTAAATAAAGATATTCATAGCAAAATTACTTTTACGAAAAAAAATACAACACCATCAAATGAAACTTAGGCGACAAAATGATATAAAACTAATAACACCGCGAACGAATTATGGTAAAAAATCAATAATGTATGAAGGCTCCAAATTATATAATAAATTACCAAAGGACATAAAAGAAGCCAAATCTATGAGAACTTTTAAAAAAATTCTAAAATATTATCTGACCAAATAGTTAAAGTGTTTTCAAGTTGAAACTTACTAAAATTATAAATTCTTCCATTGGATTAAGGATTAAGTTGCTAATAAATATCTTTAACAATAATAATAAACACCAACAAACAATAAAATCAAATACTTTTAGTCAAAATCAAATAACATAAAAACTCAGCAGTCATGTCGATAGGTACGCGTGAGCCACATCCAGTAATACATATTCGAGTATAAACTATGCCACTATCTTGCCGACGTACGTTACCGAGTGTAACCGATGTATCACGAAGTTGAACGAACGCTTGCAGTTGCTATGCACTCGTGCCACTGCTCGTATCAGTGTTTTCCTTATGTTTGTGTATGAGACTAAAACTACCTTCATCGTTTAATAATGTTATTCAATGGGTGTTATCTTTGTTTTAGTGTTTACTTAGTTGAAAATGCAAGCCCAACTATGTATATTTGTGAAAATTATATTTATATGACTCATGTAAGTGAATGTTAAATTCTTATGAGTTAAATAAAGATCTTAAACCTCATGAAGCCATCCTGAAACATGACACACCATTTATTTAATCTTATGTATCTCTCAGATTAGTTGTTAACAACTATTTAATTTATAGCAGATCATTAGTGCTATTCTTACCTTATTATTATCTTTTATTATATTAAATAATACTCTACCTACAGAATACATTTGTTTTTGAGTATTTATTGAAATGACATGTAATAATATAGATTTATTCACTCTATGCATTTCTCTCTTTTATCCATTCAGTGCATAAATGTATCTGACATACATCAGCTTCTTATTAACAAATGAGAAGCTTAAATAATTATGTTATGAAATGTCAAAAGTTATATTACTATAATAATGTAACTTATGTTAGAATGAATAACTTTGGAAACAGACTATAACTATAACCACTGGGATTAGTGTGATCTGTTATAAGTTAACACTCCTTTTGGAATTTATATATTTGTGAATATAATAACTTACCTCTACAACTTTGTTCCAAAACGGATGCATCACATAGACACTAAGAGGACTCGTGTCTATTGCCATATACTGAAAAAAATTGTAATACTTTTATATCAGATGTTTGTTTACTCGAATGTATTTAGTTGAATACTCATTTTTAATCAAAATATAAATGTAATTAATTGTTGTTACACATTTTTTTTGAAAAGCAACGATAAAATTTAATCTACAGTCAACAGCATGCATACACAAAACTCAATTTTTACCACTTGATTTTAAATATTAACGTATTGTAGACTCAGTTCAAAATCAATTGAGGGAATTCGATATAATATGGTACTCTGTCGGGCAGCAGTATGTACAAATAGACATGCTATTAAAATTCGATCAATATTTTTCATAGGTTAGGATCGTATCATAAAATATGGTTAGTTTTTTTTTAATAGGGAACTATTGTTGTAATAAATTGTTTTTTTTGTATGTAGTTATTTCAAGCATAAACTTGTAACATCAGTCAATTACCTTATAATTATCGAAACCTTCGAGATGCTCTCGGCTCAGGTATTTATAGTTGAACATTTTCTATGTTAATAAATCCCAAACACTTATATTTAAATAACCGTCTATCTTATATGATATCACACCATATTTTTAAAATTAAATTTGTTTATTAAGTTAGGAAATATATTAAATAAACAAGCGCAAGCACAGTCATTACAACTCGCTTGACGCAGTTATTATTTTATGACATAGGCCTATGACGTTTTGAAATTAGGGATAGATACTAGGATACCAGATGCAGATGCTAAATCGATTTTCTATGAAAATGATGCATGACAGCAAACGATACAATTATCGGTATAACAAAATATTTTTGATTTTAACCGGGGCGGAAATTTAATATTCTATATAATTGAATATAGTAGTCGTTGTTTACTAAAGACGAAACCCTCCAAATCTAAGGCGGGTTTAATCTAGAGATGTAAGATTCAATAAAAATATCGATAGATTGAGTTCAATATATATCGGTTTCATTCGATATCGATATATCGCTTCACAAAGCCATTTAACATACATAGATATACATCGACATTTATCAATATCTTATAGGTGTTAAGTAAAGTCAAAAGATCTTGTTTGGTAATCCGTACGAAAAAAAAATTCTTTTGATCATAAAACATCGGCCTATGAATGGTAGCAACTTATACAGCTTCTTTTTAAAGCCTGTTGCTACTTCCTGTAATGGTGGATCCAGCATGCGTAGCTTGACAAACTCAACACCAAACTTATTTCGTCTACTGCCCACTTTAAGAATATATTTACTCAAAATGCACTATAACTTCAAATAACATTAATTATCGGAAGTTATATCGCCTAAGTCTCTACACATTTTCTGTGTCTTTTAACCTTCATTTGGATTTCATTCAATATTAGGTTCCGATATATTGTTACTTGTCGTTGAACCAACCAACTTATCGATATCGCTATTTCTTCGACATCGATATGGCAGCGTTAGGGTGGGGTGCGGTTGGGCGACCACCCATGGCACTGGAGATAAAGGGGCGATATGGGCGCCAGTTTAACTCTGTTTGCTCATTTGGCCAAGCCTATTCTTAAATTCGCTAAAAGCAAAATAATCGTTTTGATGGCAACATTCGAAAGCAGTGGATATTCAATCCATTCCATTGGAGCATTGCAAGTCATTTTACCGGAAATCTCTGAACATAGAGAAAACACATTATCTGACTCATTTAAACTCTAAAAAGAGTTCGGATAATTTTGACGAAACAGAACACGCTCATTTCAATCAAGACGTCCGTCCACACCACTTAAAAGATTTCAATTATTTTAATACAAATCGATGCAGTAAGCGGCGGCAGGAGCAGCAGACTGTTCACGCTACGTTGCTATGTTATCGTTCTTCATTTACGTTCTTTGGTTTTAGTTTTATCTCAAAAGTTTTTTTTTTAATATTAAACCCGGCCTACACTTGTCCTTACTTTTTAGCAGGCCCTTGTTTTTCTATGTTTATCATGCATACAAGTTGGGTATCTCAAAAGTTGTATTACATATAGTGTGTCATTTGTTTTTTTATGGATTTTTTGAATAGGTGAGTAGAGTTTGACTCACAAAAGAAGTCCGGCGGCAATTTATTGAATTAAAATGATAGATCGGCCATGTTATCCTTATCAGGTCTTGTGATTAGGGATGTGCAAATGGGAAGAAATATCGATATATATCGTATCGATATTTTTTAAATGAATCGGTAAAAATATATAGATATTTTCTGCGTAATAAGCGACTATCAATGAAAATTTTCAAATTATTCAAAAATTGTTTGAAAACCTGGTTGTTTTGACATCAGTTTTATTATTTAAAATAGGTACATAAAGCCAAGAAAACAACATTATCAACACAACAAAAATTAGATTATTCAAACAAACGTGTATTTATCTGATATTGATATCAGGAGCACACTCAGTGATACCAACCAAACCAACAAGCAGTGTCATTGTCATAGACAAACAAAAAAACAAGCAGATCATAGACTAAACTCATACAGCCTACTGCCTACCTACTCTTTTACAAAATTTAAGAAATACATGATGTGACGCATGAGCAGACAGCAGAAAATAAAAAAGTATATCGATTTTGATGTCTGAAAATAAATATCGAAAGCCGATATATCGTGAGAAAAAATATCGCTTATTTATATCGATATTTTTAGAAAAAATATATATATTTTGAAATATTCATAATTTTTGCCCAATCCTACTTGTGATTGGTTCATATGTATTTTTGGGTTAGTAGCTCTGTGATATTTACTATTGAATTTGATATTTTATTTAGGTTCACTTGTTGAACATCCAGTATTGGATGTGGAAGAATTGTGTTGTTTTACAATATTAATTGACAGTTGTATATGTCGCATCATCTTTACGAAGATCGTTTGATTTAGTTTCTTTTATTTTAATTGCTAGTTACTCGATTACTTAATTACTGATTGTAGTAAGAGCTTGATCATCGATACTTTTAATTTCATTAGAATGGTGACACTGACTTTGACAGTTCGTTAATAAAAAGCAAGTTGCCGCCATTTTGGCACACATTCTGTTTCCGATCGCCGAGGAGTAAAGACATCCGACGACATCACGCTCATGTCGTTATATTTTCGTATGAAAAATGATAAAATGGAATAAATTCACGTTGGTATACACGCCTGCAGTGTTATTTTAAAGATAGTCCCCTTATATGGACGCTCTATTTGGGCTTCGTAATAGTCCATTCGGACTACGCGTCGACATATATGTATAACAATGAGTGTAACCCCTAGAAGATTGGTTTAAACAATTTAAACATGTGGCGCAACTGGAAAATGAATATTATAACTCCTTGATCTGTGATTATAACTACGACAGGCCGGTAGACTTTGAAATTAACCGGCTATTAAAATTTCTACACTTCGTACTAGCGTGACTGAGTCTGATCATAATATTACGTCAAATATTAGTACGATGTCGCCATTTTTTCCGTATTTCAATGTTTATCTAATTGTCAATTCTTTTTACAAAAAACTTTAAAAGAATACACCATTTTTCGCGACTCAAAATTTAAAAGTTGGCAACACTGATGTTTGACTTGTCACGTCCACGATACTTCTTTCATGAGGCGGACTACAAAATTTTAGTATCTATATTACCTATTTGGTATGAAGAGCTAAGGTAATATTTATTTGTTTATATGATTGATTTGTTTTATTTCTGGAACTAACTATACGATCTTAATAAAATAATATGGAGATAATATGGACTCCGTGAAAAGAAATACATTACCTAGTTTTTAATGCAGGAAATGATCGTGATTTTTGCGTACTAATCTGAGTACACACGAAACTGAAGCTTTTAAATAAAATATTTCACAAATATTCTACTTTTATATTATAATGCTCTCTAGATTTTAGAATTTTTAGTTTCCGTATACATATAATGCTCTCTATACAGTGAGAGACGTCTTGACTTACTGAGCTGACAAACTACGCACAGTCTAAATCAGTGGTCGTAGAGACATTAAATTTGGAAGGTTCATTCGTTTTATTATGTAACCGCGAAGGAAATGGCTCAAGAACTAGATATCGAACCTACGAGTATATTACGAGCAAGAATGCAATTAGTGATGAAACTTCCCGCGAAGAGCTTAACATAGATTTGTTGAAAACTATATTCATTACAGCAAGACAATTTTCAAAAGTCGAAATCAAACTACTTCAGTAATCTTAGTTTCTTAAGAACTTGGTGTATTCTCATCCATTTCACTTGACTTGCGTTTTTAGTTTATGTTAGAGAAACGCATGGTGATGTTTATTTTTTAGATGTGCACCTAAATTATTCGTATTGCCACTGGTTTTATATATTTTTCCACAGATATTGAAACATTTTGTTTGTTTTTTTTTTTAAAGTAACATACACTAGACATGAGTGGAATGCTCAAATTAATTATTGATTGAATTAGTAAGATTGTTGACTACAATGAACTAAAATGCGGAAAAACGCACGCGTTGAGGTTCGTTACGGATTACGCATAATCAAAGAGTAAAAGTGTGCGGACAACAGAAGGAAATTGAATGTTATTTTTGGTAATTTTCTGGTTCAAAAAAAAGAAAATATCGTTTTTGATACAATTTCTATACTGGATATTTGATATCGATATATCGTAAAATATATCGCCAAGAAATATCGATATATCGAAATTGATAATATTGATGTATCGATATTTATTTGACAAGCTTAATTACTTCTTCTCTTGCAACTATTATATTCTTAGAAAAATTACATACTAATGAAATTATAAATTAAGTACCTTATTATTCTAAGATAATATATATGAAACTCTTGATTTTCTATGTATTTTTTGATTTTCTATGTATGCATTGCTTGTCAATGTATTTTCAATTTCATAATAATATATACTTTCGTATGTTCAATGAATGTAATGAGAAAGTATTTAAAAAATAAAGAAACTTCAAAAAATTATGTCATTAGATGGCAGCACAAATTGTTGGATCTAAACGTCAATTCATGACGTTAAACCAATGAGAATAAAATAGTCAGTGTTGTATGGATCTGATAACTCGGATTAATATCGAGTTGAAATTTAATTTGTTCGAGTTACGTAAACACAACTCGATTAATACAAAGTAATCTTTGAATAAATTTATTTTTTATTTGTATAGAGGAAAATGGAGACTAACATAATGGAAGTGAGCACAGAGGTTTTTTAAAATTCATGGAAATCAATTGTATTAATGCTGCGATATAATTAAAAGTGGCATTTAGCTACGGTATAAAATAATATTATCGCCAAATAGTTTTTATAAATAAAATACTTATGCCATAATAGGTCTAGGAATTTTTCATTATAATATTTTTTTTTTGATAAAAGTTCTGAAAACAACAACAACTAGGTAAGTTAGTTTTATTGCTATTACTTGTTGTTGAACTCACAACAACACAGTGGCGTAGCTACTAAGGGGCTAGGCGGGGCAGTGCCCCGGGGCCCTCAAGCTCAGGGTGCCCTCGAATCTTTACCAGAAATTCTCAATCAAACTCAACTTTTGAATATTTCCCCCATTTTCAAAATAAATATGACAGGTGACAACTCGAGTTTAATCATGGAAACTCAGTTGTGAGAAATTCCAAAGTTATAAAAAGGGAATTCCCCTAAATTATTTGTGTGGGTTGACAGTGTTATCAATGTTTCATCAATTTGTTGGATATCAATATCTGCATATTATTAT